TTTTGCACACTACCATCCGATGTTGTTTGGCTACACTCTCACCTGCCACCACCTTACAGTCTCTAATCTCCCTGAGATTACATCTTCTGCATAGAATATAATCTATCTGTGTGGACCTGCCTCCACTCTTGTAAGTCACCCTATGTTCCTCTTTCTTTTGGAAATATGTGTTTACCACAGCCATTTCCATTCTTTTTGCAAAATCTACCACTGCCTGTCCTTCTACGTTTCTCTCCCTAACACCAAACCTGCCTATCACTTCCTCATCTCCTCTGTTCCCTTCCCCTACATGACCATTTAGGTCTGCTCCAATCACCACTCTCTCTCTCCTGGGGATACTCTCTACCATCCAATCTAGCTCCTTCCAGAACTTCTCCTTTTCTTCCAACTCACAGCTCACCTGTGGGGCATAACCACTAACAACATTAATCATCTCTCCTTCTACTTCTACCTTCACACACATCAACCTGTCTGACTCTCTTTTCACCTCTACCACATTTCTTACATATTCTTCCTTTAGGATCACCCCTACTCCATTTCTCTTCCCATCTGAACCATGATAGAACAGTTTGTAGCCTCCTCCAATGTTTCTAGCCTTACTGCTCTTCCACCTGGTCTCCTGCACACACAAAATATCTACTCTTCTTCTCTCCATCACATCAGCTATTTCTCTGCTTTTCCCTGTCATTGTACCTACATTCAAAGTTCCAAACTTCAGACTAACACTTCTATTCTTCATCTTTTCTCTTTTTCTCCTAACCAAACGCCCTCCTCTTCTTCTCTGTCTCTGACTCTGTCTCTGACCAACAGTAGTCCAATTTCCATCAGTGCCCTGTTGGTCAACGGCACTGTTGGCGGTCGTTGTTAACCCGGGCCTCGACCGATCCGGTATAGAAATCGTTTTATTGATCTGCATATTTGATTTAGCTAAACGTTTTACGCCGGATGCCCTTCCTGACGCAACCCTCACCATTTATCCGGGCTTGGGACCGGCACTATAAACACGGCTTCGTGTACCCTAGTGGCTGGCTTGTACTCCCAACACAGCACTGACTATTATTAATATAGAGCTGATTCGTCCATCCTGGTGTCTTCAGGTCATTCACTGCAGTATCTGCAGTGTACTGTAGTACAGTATGTGACTGTAAATACTATGGAATGTAAACCCATTGTGTGGTTTTGCATACTAGTCGTTGTTTCCCCTCTATACAGCTCTTAGGAATAAAATAAAAGTCAACATTTCTCAGACAAATCGGACAGAGACAAAGTATGTCTGCTCTGGTCCAGGTCCAGTCTGGGAGGGTCCTGCATGGACAGAATGTTGGCTCTTGAATCAGCACCTTGTGCTAAATGTAGCAACACAATTGGATTTTTTTTTTCTTTTTAAATTGTAAAGAAATAATCTTAATGGATTGGGTTTTTTTCTGTTCACCATGGATTAGGACAGTTGGAAAAAAAGTTTGTGTTTGAGGGACAGAAGTGAGTGACCCTTGAGTCCTACCTTGAGACATACGTCATACTATTATCTATTTTCACCACCATAGTGAAACATCTCCACTCTTCTCACTTCTCTTCCTTGTCTTTATGACTTTCTACATAAAGTCCAACTATCTTCCTGTTTGTTTCATTCCAGTTTTTTCCAATATGTCCATCAGCCAACATTGTCTCTGGACCGCTGAACTTTTTAGTTCTTTTTCTTTAACTAAATAAAAAGGGCATTTGAGCCTTAGCAGAGTGAAGCACACAAAAACCCTGTGGCTCAGCAAACAGTGTGGTTGAGTGCTGCATTAAGCAGGTAAAATGGGATAAAGATTGGTTAATTAACGCTGAGAATCCTCCTGTAATTAGGAGCAGCCAAGATTAGTGGCCATCGATGGAGCGACGAGGATTTGCAAGTAATAGACTTATTATTGGGGCCGGCTGAATGTTACTTTATACTTCTGAATAAACACAAACAAATTAGGCCGGGTCGTCCGATAATGGGTTATCTTGTCAACAGGCTGACAGAAATCCATGGTCCTATAACACAGTGTTAATTTTATGCACCACTGACAAGCACAGGGCTAATCAATAACACTACTATAAAATAAGGTGAGGCATCAGTCTGCAGTGCACACAGCAGAGACAGACAAATGTCAGTACCGCTTCTGCTGGGGTGTTTCTTTTTTTCTGTTTTTTGGAGTGGGGGAAGAAATTTAGTATCCGCTCCAAATGAGGTGTGTGTGTGTACACTGCTGCATCAGAAAGTCATCCGACGTCCAGCTGCCTCTACCACTGATTAAACGTCATAAAAATGCATAAAAATGTAATGTTTGTTTAATGCACATTTATTACGATTGCTGTCCTTTTAATGAAATTTTACGTTTTGTTTAAATGACAACAAAAGTCACATGTCACAAGTTTCTGCTCTTAATTACAATTAATTAACAAAACCATCACTGTTTACCCAAGTTACATGAAATATATTCCACTGAACTTAAAATTATATTAAATAATCAATAAAACCACTTGTGAATGAGATGTTTTATAGTGTTTCGAAATAAGATGAATGGTATTTTTGTATATTTGTTCTGCATTGAGTGTGTGAAAGTAGGCAGGACCCAACTGCAGCACGAGGCCCTCTTCAGGTGCAGGAAGTTAATTTACAAAGTAAAAAAAAATCACTGGTTCTTTAGGTTAAGATTAGAAATGTGATAATCGATAAATAATCAGGGCACCTGAGCTCTGTCAGGACATGAGAGACATTACGGTGGACAAGATAACATTCCAGATTGTCCAGATTCGGTAGGTTTATCCAAAATCCAGCCATTTTGTTTATTTTTGTCAAGGTGGTTCCAGTGTTCTACCATCTATGGATCAAACACAACAGGATTTTTTAAATAAAGTTTCAGCTGAACCTCTGCTTCATCTACCTTCATCTCCAAAAGATTTTTCTATTGTTGCAAACACACTTCAAGTCAAAGTAAGGATCACAAAGACCGGCTGCTCACTAACAACTGACTTTTGATCGAGGTGGATGATTGTGTTCCACCTTCATCCACAGACTCTCCACAGGTGCAATAAGTTCATTCACAAAATCCATAAATCACAAAATCACTAGGAAACAGGTGGAAAGGGAGAGAGACAGACACAAACATAGTTTTAAATCATCAGAAAGAATATAGAGAATAAATGAATGTATAAACTTAACAATTCCACTGTTTTAACCTCAGTCTAGTGGCAGAGTTGACAAAAATGACACAGAACAAACAAAAGAAAGTCAAATTTGTGTAAAAACAGATTTACATAAAACCTTTAATATATTTTAAATGTGGTTTGAAACGGTTTAGTAAACGACAGACTCACATTGTCATTGTCCAACTGTGTTTGTAAGTAAGGGTTTCTGAAATGTTCACCAATAGGAACGCAACTGAAAATGTGTGTTAGTGACTGTATTAGACACAGGTAATACAACCGTTATTATTTGAAATAGGAAAAGAAAGGAAAGTGAACTACTTGTCACTGTGACACAGCACACCACTGCACACAACCAAATGTGACCTCTGTTTTTAACCCATCACCAAAGTGAACAGTGGTCAGCTTTAAGGACCAGGGAGCAGTGAGTGAGGACGGTGACATGATCAGAGCACCTCAGTGGTAACTTGGCAGCTGGGGGACTCGAACCTGAAACCTTTCAGACCTAAGTCTGCTTCCTTAACCACTAATCCACCACACATCATCTTCTTGTCGTAGCTGCCAAAGTTGTTGAAAAATGGTCAAATAAGTGGTTCATGGTCTGAAGATTTCAGTCTTTTTGAAGGTCTATCCTTTTCAGCTTAGTACCCCATGTTGACATCACAAATTTAATTTTTCTAGGATTAGTTGTTGATGGTGTTTGTTATGCTGTTGCAAATACAGATTAGTACATCCTTTAAGTACTAAGTACTTAAAGGAATGTTGCTCTCCTTTGTGCAGTCACATGATTACAGTCCAGTTTTGATATTTGATCAATTTTTCTATATCAATTTGTATCAATAATGTGGGTCAAATACAAGAATCTCTGAGAACAAATCAACAAACCAGTCATTGAGTGACGTTTAAAAGAATGATTTTATTTCTAAATACACTACAAGTCAAATGGCAAAACAGGAAAATCGCTTTCACCTCTTTTTTTTAATATATTTTGAACCCCTGAGCACCACAATCCAGCATTCCCATAATGCACTGGATTCATCCAAGTTGGACAAAAAAAGGGACATAAAAGAAACACTGAAAGCGTCATACACAGCTAAGTAAGCGGTTAGTGCCTAAAAACTACCAGCATAGCATAGATAAAATACAAAGTAAACAAGGTTATTTGGTTACATAATAAATTCATATATTTGTTTTGCATGCAGAGCTGTCACACACTCATTTGCTCTGCTCAAGGTGGGACCATAAAAAATGTAAGCGAGTGCAGTCACAGCTTGAAAAAAAAAATCTCTTTGGTAAAAACAATGTGATTCCATGCTGCTGCAGGCTCACAGTTACGTCATCTGAAGTGTTTGGCTTTGTTCAGCAGTATGTACAGGGTGAGAGTACGCTGCTCCAGCACTGCACTAAAGGGGACAGAACCAACGCTTGAGCCGAAGTTGGATCATGGAAGTTAGGAATAAAAAAATTCCTAGAAGTCCAGGACCAGACCCATGACAATCCTACACAGCTGACTTTTGCACATTTTCAATCATTTAGTCATTGTTTCATTTGATCTTCCTCCGAACAGGAAGCAAGACAATTCGTCACCATGGTGGCAGGTAATCTCTGTAGCAAGATTTAGAGAAGAAAATACATCATCAGGAAAAGGAAATGAAGATCTGTTTGAGTTAGAAACAGGTTTGTCCACCTCAACACATAAAAGTGTGAAAATTGCTTTTCTTTGCTCCCTGGTGACACTAAATTAAATGTTTTTTTTAGGTATAAATGTAGTTTTGTAATAACATTGTCATGTCAAATGTCAATCAAAGAAACAGAAAAAAACGTTCAAACAAAGAAAACTCTTTAGATTCAGCCTTGTACATATTTGCAGAGGACTCAAAGCCATGTGTGTACCACGGAGTACTAGGAAGAGTACTAGGAACTTGTGGTTCCAGCATCAACAGAGTTCAGGGAGGAAGGAGGAAAATGGGTTAGAACTAAGTTGAAGAACTTTCCAGAGCTGGGACTATTGGAAAGCACAGGCAGCTTTTCCCTGATTATTCAGAAAGCCTGCCACAATCACGGAGAAAAATAATTTTCATAAGGCTTGGTTCTCCCCTCCAAAGATGACTTTTGAACCAAGGCATTTTCTGTAAGCTGTTTTTGAATGAATTTCTCCCGATTCTCATTTTTGGAGAAAATACTGTTGTTGTAAGTGACCGTTTGGTTCCTCAAAAATTTGTCCTGGCACTAACAGTTCCTGGTACTTTGTGGTGTAACCATGGCTTTAGAGCTAACTTATACTGATAAACATCTAAAAAGTTAGATTTTCAATTCTATATATTTTTTCAGCTTTGGTTTCAGCTACTTCTTTTAAGTTAAGATTAGAAACACGTGATAATCGATAAATAATCAGGGCACCTGAGCTCTGTCAGGACATGAGAGACATTACGGTGGACAAGATAACATTCCAGATTGTCCAGATTCGGTAGGTTTATCCAAAATCCAGCCATTTTGTTTATTTTTGTCAAGGTGGTTCCAGTGTTCTACCATCTATGGATCAAACACAACAGGATTTTCTTTTTTAAATAAAGTTTCAGCTGAACCTTTGCTTCATCTACCTGTGAATCAAAAACATTTTTCGATTGTTGCAAACACACTTCAAGTCAAAGTGAGGATCAGAAAGACCGGCCGCCTTCAGCAGCTTCACTAACAACTGACTTTTGATCGAGGTGGACGATTGTCCCCTGCTGCACGATTGTGTTACACCTTCATCCATAGTCACACACAATTCCAAATTGAGTGGAGGGTCTGCATGAACCAACGGACACAGAGAGGAGGACAGCTACCGTAGTGGGATCATGTGATGATGTCATTGATGACCATTTTGTGCAGGTGCACGTTTTGGCAATAACCATTGGATCAGATCACAGTCAACACGTGACGTTGTCGTTCCTCCCCGTGCTCATGTTTTTGCGCAGCTTCTTTTTTCTCTCGTCATTCCTGTGTCCCACTCAAAGGCTGTTTCTGTTGCGCCGGCACAACACCCAACATAAAAGTAGCATTTTTTTCAACAGGATACTTCATTTTCTGGGACAGTTCTCTGCTTGTGTTTCCATATTTAACCGACAGGCGTTTGTATTCTCACAGACATGGATATGAAGCACCATGAATTCACTTGCAATTAAGATTGTGGACACATTTGTTGGCACAGTCTATAACAAATGAGGTAGATGTGTGTCAATAAAATATTCCCTTCTTTGGTATACTCACACAAACAACGATAAGCAAAGAAAAAAAAAACACTCCAGTGATCGGATGAAACATTGGTTTCAAGTGGCTGTACAATAAAAATAAATGGAATTTATGAGGTATTTCATGTCGTTATACTTTACTATGACTATGTACAGGTAGACTTGTGAGGTATCTGCATTCAAGAAGACTCGCAAAACAAAGTGGTGGCGCCAATGCAACGTTAGCAGGATGCTTTATAAAACATAATAAATAAAAATCTGCACTTAAATGATTAAAATGCTCTTGCAGACTTAATAAAAACCCACATATCTATAAACCAATAACCATTTCCCTTCACAATAAATCTTTTATATATATTTATGAAAGGAGAGAAAGAGCAAGAGAGAGAGAGAGAGAGAGAGAGAGAGAAGAGAGAAAGAGAGAGACACTCTCTGACAGTAGACACAAGTGCATCAATAAAGTAAAGGAAAACTCAGATTCTACTCAACGTGTACTTTTTTTTTTCTTTTCTTGTCACTCCAGTCAGCAACTGGAACTCACCCATCCTGAAAGATCAGGTGGATGAGGGACAGTACAGCCCAAGTACCACAGCTAGTATCTACTGATTGACAAGGTCTCTTGTGTCTTTTAAAGAGTTTGTTGCATTCAAATGTACAAAAATGTTTGTTCTAAATAAACAAACAAACGACTGTGTCTCACTGCACAGATGTGTGATTCACTACATTTCCTTCTAGTTAAAGTATATTAAACCCCCAACTAACCCAATGACTTTGCTTCGGGCCCTCCAGTTAAAACAGCCCTCAGCCCCACACCTCTGAGGACTAAAGGTGACTCGGACTCTGTTCAGTGACTTTGACTCGGCCTTAAATGTTGAACTCACTTTTTTCCAACTGACTTCTGACACTAAACTCCATTAAAATGACTTTCCTCCCAATGAGTTGCAGAAATCACCTGTGCAATCTCACTGTGCTGTGCATCTGCTTCACGTGAGAACTTTAGTTTACTCTCTTCCTTCCCCTTTTGTGCTTCCGTTTTACAATGTGAATTAAAAATCAGCGATGGCACCAAGACACAGCCACCTTCTGCAGCAGCCAAGATTTGTAAGAATTTCTGACCACAACCACAACAATGGGGCAACGACATGTCCTGTAATGTTTACCCTAACCCATTAAGAAAGACCTGGACAGGAACAAAGCTGATCGCTTTCTGGGAGAATTTGTCTGGATACAGTTTGCGTTCATCTTGCAAATTAAGCTGTGCTGTTTTCTCAAGAGCTTTATGGATTTGCCTTGTGAGTAAGAAAGGGAGTTTAGTAATAAAGGCTTATTTGAAATGATTAAAGCAGCCATATTGGATGTGGCAAATTGCAGCTACTTCGTGGACAGAGTGAACGGACATTAAAATATGCTCAGTAGTTGTGGATGATCACACAAGCTAAGGCTTCTGATGAACTTCTGAATATGAACAGTGATGGGCTTACTTTCACCAAGCTCACAAAACATGCAGGGTCAGGTGGTCCAACACATCTATTGCCCTTATGTTGATCCAACTTGTCTTGTTTGGCTTTAAGGCTGAGTTATAGTTTATGTCTTGAAGGGTAGATGGCTCTAAGGTGAAAAAAATGTGTCATTGTCATTGTTTTGATGTTTGTTGTGAAACCAACTACATTTGTAATTATTCATTGATGGTTGAAGTCCTAGTTGGAGTCATGACCACACATTTTAAGTCCGCCTATCCTAAACGTAAGTTTAGCTTCCCTTAAGTTTGGAAGAGTTGCGGAACCTTCTTCAATTTGGAACGGATTACGATTTAACTTCGTCAATCGTCATTCTGTTGTTTTTTTACCTCTGGGTTTTTAGTGTTTACTCATCTAAAGGAACTTTACCTCCTGAAAACATATTCCCAGGCATTGATCTCCGGTCAAAGAGAAGGCTAGTTCTACATAACTGAAAGAAATGGTCACGTGGGAGTCGCTTGTTGGTGGATACACACATTTTTTGAGCTTTTTTGTTGACTGTTATATTGATATGCTACCATAAACCACACACACTGGACAGTCATTCTATGAGGAATATTTGATCATATCCTCCTCAGATGCACTTTGCCTGTCTTCACGCACGCTGTAACGACCAGGTCAGGACACTGGAGCTGAAGATCCGAGGTTTGTTAAAAATGCCTACAAATGAACAACCAAACAAACCACAAACAACTAAGCCACAAACCTTATTCATGCCTTATTTTGATGGTGCTCTGTGCTTCAAGCTGTTCAATCAAAAAGTTTGCAACACACACACACACTCATACAGTTAATTGTCGTGGATACAGACACTACTGACACTGAGTCGTTGGAGTTATGATGAGAAGGAAAGCCTTTTCCAAAATATGTCTGTAAAGGTTTTTCTGCTTTTCATTTTTTTGGTATCTAAAGGAAATTTGAAAACCAAGTGGAAACAAATCCACTTTGGACAGCTAGTGGATGAGAGCTTGATGTGGTCAGGAGGATGGTGGCTCTCCTCGGTGGTGATGTGAGAAGAGTAGTAGAAGGAAGAGGAGGAGGAAGTGAAGAGGGCCAGAACGTGCTCAGGGGGAGGTGTTTCTGTGTCCATGGAGGGAAGAAGAGGAGGAGGAGGAAGAGGAGCAGGAGGGCTGGAACTGGATGGGACTGGTCTTTCCCTGAGTCTGACAGTTGTTGTGTTTCCCACGGTGGCCCATTGCTGCTATGGGTGACTGTCGGGCAAAGAGGACGCCTGGGGAGCAGGAAGTAAAGTCAGTTCAGACCTAATCACAATTACCACAAACAAAGTCAACGCATATACTCAGGATTGTCGTATTTTCATTAAAAATGAAAACAAACAAACAAAAAAACCTGCATAATACTTGTATTTGTGCTGAAAACACTCAAATGGTGATTTTTTTGAGACAGTTCTGTTACTTTTAAATGTTCTTCAGGATTTTTCTTGTTTTTTCTTCTTAAATTCCATCTTTTACTGTGAGGACAATACTCCTCTGTCCAGTAATTATTGTTCACTGCTTTTCATTGTACAAAAGCCTAGTTGTAAATCAAAGAAAACAGCAGACCTCTGTTCCACCAATCACAGCCTTTCAGCTATGGCTAAATCATTTAATTAATGATGGTATGTTTGGTGTTTTATGCCATTTTTTTTTGTTTGTTTTCACATGCAAACAGAATTAGGATTAGATTACACAGAACACTTTGTAAAACTCTCATTCTTCATTCTTCATCATTTGTGCAGACAGTAAAGACTATGTCTCCTTGTCTCCTTTAACCTTATGTTGAAACCATTGTGTACTAAATCCTCAGTGACCTGTAATTACACATAAATAATAGGTGAGCATATGTAATTTATGCAGCGACTATATGGACTCTACTGTATATGTAGTACAGAACATACGTCTGTAAGATGAGCTGATTTTACAGTCAGTGTGAGCCTGTGGCAGGTGACATGGACAAACGCTCGGCCCAAGTTAAAGCAGAGGCAGTAATTACTTCAACTGACACACACACACACACAGACACACACATGCACACACTCTATTCAGGCACATAAGACAATAAGCCAGATCGACCTCAAATCCACAGGCCCAATTTTGAGATATTTAACTTTTTTAACTATATTGGACTGCCACTTCATTACGATGGATTTTATAGCAAAGACATCAAATTGCGTGGAGGACTAAGCACCAGGGTGCTGCTATAACTTATTGAATTTCCTGCCTGCAATTACATCAGCAAACGGCCCCTCTATTTACCTGTGTAGACAACTCCATTTATTTCTATTGACATGTTGATGCTGCTAATGCCGTTGGTAGACAGGTTCAATGCGGTCTCTTGTCTATCATCTGTCAAGAGAGGAGGCAGAGAAGGAGAGAGGGGAAAAACTCAATATGAGCATTTAGAAAGGGAACAGAAGAAGCAAGAAGAGTATTGGTGATAATTCAGAGAGTGACAGGATAAGGAGAGCTGTATTAAAGAGTTCTGGGGGAGAGGGAACTGTCAAAAGTTGTTACAGATGTTTGTACATGTGGATTATGGATGAATCTCTATCTCCACACACAGTTGGAGAACTTGACAAAGAAATGTGACAGGCTGTAAAATATCAAAAAATTAAAAATAAAACAACAACTGTACAACAGAGTCACTGCGATATCAAACTACCTGCAAACACACATTTATCCATCTGAGCGCATCTGGGTGGCAACAAATAATAGTGTTTGGATGTAATCTTTAAATGACAGTGTTTATAAGTGAGAGCCAGCGTCAGACGGCCAGCGTGGGAATTAACCTGGGAAAGATTCTCACTCATTTCTCCATCACGTATCAAGTGCAAGGCCTACTATTATGACTAATACGAGCGAGGCAGCCATGCAGACAGAAATGATATCACACTTGAGCAGATAGGCCCCTTATTCTTCCTTTAGCCTCTATCATTAAGTCATATGTGACTTATGACTTGTCATGAGCGGCTCTGGCTGCAGCCGAAGCCCAGCCAGATGGGCAGCTTCTGACTGTGCCGGTGGTGAGGAGCTATTTCTTCATCACATCTGTGTAGAGCTCAGCTTCAAATTACACATGTTCTGTGATGGACTATGTGCACATTAGTGGTTCAGGCGTGCACGGCCGGATCTGAGACTGGACAGTATTTGTGTTTTTCTGCAATTAGTGGGGAAACGCCACGTTACTACAGCCACAGAAAATGCACTTTCAAAACACTATTTAAAGGCAAAGTTTAAGAAACTTTAGAAAGAAAAATGTCAAATAACAGGTAAGCCATCAACGTGCATTTTCTTGTAATGTCACCTTTTAGCATTACTTTCTGTTTATTTTTATTTAAAGCAATATACTCTTTTAGTATTTTTTTGTTATTTTATCTGATGTCATATATATGACATATATAGCTATCTATATTTCTTAATTTTTTTAGGTTGTTTTTGTGAGGACCAGGTCAACAGGGGGCAACAGACCACTTGTAGCACTCAAGAGATGAAAAGCTAATGGCCTTGAGCAGTGCTCCCCCCGCCCCCCCAAAACCACACATTCTGGTGCATTTTTCCCATTGTGACACATTTTCTGCCCCCTGAAATGGCTCAGTTCCCACTAGGGAGGACCCATCCCCCACTTTAAGAATCTGTCGCCTTCTAGAGAGGCTAGGGAAAACTCCTGCTGCAATTTAGTTGTCAGATACAATGCAACACATAATATAATTTGATACTATTTAAAGTGAAGTAATAGCTGTTTTCATATTTGTGGTTTATAATACCATAATGGGGCGAATTTGTGTTTAACTCTACACTATATTTTAACAGTCATGTTATCAATATCTAATTATTTTTAAGCTGCATCATAATATGTTGATTTAGTAGAAACTCTTTAGTGAAACAATGCCGACAGCTAAAGAAAACTGATCTGAAATATCCGCGCTGTAGCCTCCGCTCGAAAATGAAGTACTTTGTAGTAAATGATGCCCTGTGTGGTGTTTCATACTGAGGACTGAGATAGATTGTCTAACCTCTGTTGTTGATTTTGATATTCAGGGGCAGCTGGGTGGCCATGGCCAACAGGTTCTGTTGCAGCGCGTGCTGCATGATCCTCTGCTGCTCCTCTGCCACCATCATCATCTTCTTCTCAGGCGGTTCACCGCTTTCCAGTTTCTCCCGCAGCTGCTCCAGAGCCGCTGCCTGCATGGCGGCTGCTGCCTG